CCCCGTTAATTAGAACATTCCGCATGCATAGTTCGCAGTATCCCCGTTAATTAGAACCTTCCGCATGCATAGTTCGCAGTATCCCCGTTAATTAGAACATTCCGCATGCATAGTTCGCAGTATCCCCGTTAATTAGAACCTTCTGCATAGTTCGCAGTATCCCCGTTAATTAGAACCTTCCGCATAGTTCGCAGTATCCCCGTTAATTAGAACATTCCGCATAGTTCGCAGTATCCCCGTTAATTAGAACATTCCGCATAGTTCGCAGTATCCCCGTTAATTAGAACATTCCGCATAGTTCGCAGTATCCCCGTTAATTAGAACCTTCCGCATAGTTCGCAGTATCCCCGTTAATTAGAACCTTCCGCATAGTTCGCAGTATCCCCGTTAATTAGAACCTTCCGCATAGTTCGCAGTATCCCCGTTAATTAGAACATTCCGCATAGTTCGCAGTATCCCCGTTAATTAGGACCTTCCGCATAGTTCGCAGTATCCCCGTTAATTAGAACATTCCGCATAGTTCGCAGTATCCCCGTTAATTAGGACCTTCCGCATAGTTCGCAGTATCCCCGTTAATTAGAACCTTCCGCATAGTTCGCAGTATCCCCGTTAATTAGAACCTTCCGCATAGTTCGCAGTATCCCCGTTAATTAGAACCTTCCGCATAGTTCGCAGTATCCCCGTTAATTAGAACCTTCCGCATAGTTCGCAGTATCCCCGTTAATTAGAACATTCCGCATAGTTCGCAGTATCCCCGTTAATTAGAACCTTCCGCATAGTTCGCAGTATCCCCGTTAATTAGAACATTCCGCATAGTTCGCAGTATCCCCGTTAATTAGAACATTCCGCATAGTTCGCAGTATCCCCGTTAATTAGAACCTTCCGCATAGTTCGCAGTATCCCCGTTAATTTGAACATTCCGCATGCATAGTTCGCAGTATCCCCGTTAATTAGAACATTCCACGCATGGTTCACAGATGTCCTTGGGTTATAATACCGTGTCACGGATCATTGACC